CCCGACCCCGGATAGGCGGAAGAAAATGGATGGATGGATGGATGGGCTGCTAGCTTCCTTTTTAGCTCCCGCACTTTCTGAGTCCGTAATGAACAGCAGGCAGTATGGTCGCTCGGCAGCTGACCAGTCGATGCGCCGTCACGTGGTTGTTTGGTGTTCATTTTCGCACATACCTTTCATAGTTCCTGAAACACCCCGAGCCGAGCTCCTGGGGAAACCCCTCCCGCTGCATACGTCACTACATGGGATTCCTTCCCGGGGGAGTCCAATGCGGGGGGGAAAAAAACAGTCTGCAGCTCGCTCGACGTTGTTTATCCTGAAACTGGTCCTGGCTTAAGCTCCAAAGTTTTAATCAGTCAGATTCCACCGTGAAAAATGTCTGCTTTATCTCCATTTATGAGTTTTTGGCCGTTTGACTATCTTTAAAAATCGCTGCTTCCTGGTACAGTAATCGGCTCTGGAAGCAATCGCTTTTTCTTCCTTTCTTTTCCTTTTTTTTTTGTAGCGAGTGGTTGAAGCAAATGCAGCGTCTGCTATCAGCACAAACAAAAACACTCCCACGAACTAGGGAGATCCGTCTCATACTGTTTGTGCATCTTCTTGAAATGTCGCTCCAAGTTACACTTTTCGGGTGAGGCAATGCTCGAATTACAGATGAGGCAAATAGGCTTCGAATTAGAATAAACAAAAAAATACTCCTCCCACTCTGTGTGAAAATAAGTTTTCGTTTGCTTGTTCGATAGTTTTCCATCCCTGTTTTCTCTGCATCGACAACTCCACCACTGAACCTAAAGTCTCGTCAGAGCGCTGTGTCACTGCACCCAAAACTCGCGAGACAACATCTGTGAAAATGCAAGATGGGGGAGGGCGTAGGGAGCGCATTGCTGCGCGTTGGAATGTGTTACTTAAACTCCCCCCACCTCCACTGCTTCTGCCGGAGTTAAAATGATGCTACTCCCCCCACCTCCACCGCTTCTGCCAGAGTTGAAATGAAGCGTAGCGAGCGGACACGTCCCCTTGCTAACAGCTGACAAGCCGGCTCGCAAGGTTGCGCTTTGTGGGCACCCGGGACTCAGCTTGCGAGCACCGAGTCGCCCGTGTACGACGGGTTGGGCACACCTGATCTAATGAATGGTTATGTGCCACAGAGCTTTAAGGTTGCTGCAAATTAAACCTTTACTTAAGAAACCTGATCTTGATTCAGGAGTTCTGGCCAACTATAGACCTATATTTAATCTCCCATTCATCTCAAAAATTCTTGAGAAAATAGTTGCATATCAACTATCTGAACACCTGGATAGAAATAATCTATATGATGAGTTTCAGTCAGGGTTTAGAGCTCATCATAGCACAGAAACAGCACTGGTGAAAGTTAATAATGATATTCTTATGGCCTCAGACAGTGGACTTGTGTCCATTCTTGTCCTGTTAGACAGTYGACTTGTGTCCATTCTTGTCCTGTCAGACAGTGGACTTGTGTCCATTCTTGTCCTGTTAGATCTCAGTGCTGCATTTGATACAATTGATCATAATATTTTATTACTTAGGCTTGAACTTGATATTGGTATTACAGAAACAGCTCTGAAATGGTTTAAGTCTTATGTAATTGACAGATTCCAGTTTGTGAATGTTAATGAATCTTCTTCTTATACCAGAGTTAGTCGTGGATTTCCTCAGGGTTCAAGTGCTTGGACCAATCCTTTTCACTTTATATATGATTCCATTAGGTAAAGTTATTAAACAGCATGGGATAAATTTCCATTGTTATGCTGATGATACTCAGTTATATTTATCCATGAAACCTGATGAATCCAAACAGTTACTTAAACAACAATCTAGTCTTAAAGACATAAAAACTGGACAACTCTTAATTTTCTGCTTCTAAATTCAGATAAAACAGATGTTTTGGTTTTTGGACCTGAACATTGTAGGAATGAATTTGCAGCCTTCACTTCCTCTGGATGGCATTAATCTGGCCTCCAGTTCTAATTTAAAGAACCTTGGTGTTATTTTTTATCAGGACATGTCTTTTTATTTAACCCCCACATTAAAAATGTTACCAGAACTGCCTTCTTCCACCTGCGTAATATTACTTAAATTAGAAACATTTTGTCCAAAAATGACATGGAAAAACTGATTCATGCATTTATCACGTCTAGACTGGATTACTGTAATTCTTTATTATCTGGACAGCCAAAAAACTCTTTAAGTTAATCCAAAATGCTGCTGCTAGAGTTTTAATGAGAGTTAGAAGGAAAAATCATATTTCTCCAGTTTTAGCTTCTCTCCACTGGCTCCCTGTCAAATTCAGAATAGAATTTAAAATATTACTACTAACATACAAAGCTCTTAACAACCAAGCTCCATCATAAAGATCTTGTTGTTCCATACTTTCCCAACAGAGCACTTCACTCTCAGACTGCAGGTTTACTTGTGATTCCTAGAGTTTCTAAAAGTAGAATGGGAGGCAGAGCTTTCAGTTATCAAGCTCCTCTCTTGTGGAACCAACTTCCAGTTTCTGTCCATGAGGCTGACACTCTGTCTACTTTTAAGACTAGACTTAAAGCTGCAGTGTGTACCTTTTATAAAAATTTACTTTTAATATATTTGTTAAAACTGTCATGTCCTGACAGATTGATATTAGACAGCTAATCTCTGATAAAACAAAAGTCCTCTGGCTCCTTCTGGTGGTCTTACAGTCATCTGTTCAAATCTACCGCTTCCAGAGCAAATCAAAGCCCAGAGGTTTGTCTCACAGGTGTCAATCATGTTCGTGTACAAGCTGCTCACACCCATCCCCCCACACCCACAACGTGCCAAGTAGGGGTCTCTGCAGAACGTGTTGTCCTGTGGGCGGAGACGCCCCAAATCGTCATTGGCCGAGGTCTTAATGTGGGTAAAGATGGCCCTACTCGTGATTGGCGGAGGTCTTGATGTGGGCGGAGATGGCCCGAGACGTGATTGGTCAGATTGACGGTGGGGTTTGAGGCTGGAGGCAGCGGGGAGGAGCTTGGTCGAGTCGGGCAGGAAGTAACATTTTTTTTAACTTTTTTTAAAATTGGTTTTAGTCACAACTTGAGAAAGGAAAGTGCTACCTGCACGAAATTTGAACGTCATACAAGTGAAAGGATGTGTAACAATGTGGCTCGGTTAAAACATCCCTCACCAGCCTGTTAAAAAAATTGATTTTTAGCTATCTTTTTACAGGCTGGTTGGGGATGATTTGACGAGCCATATTGTTACACATCCTTTCACTTGTAAGATGTTCAAATTTCGTGCAGGTAGCACTTTCCTTTCTCAAGTTGTGACTAAAATCAATCTTAAAAAACGTTGCTTCCTGCCCGACTCGATCAAGCAGCTACTCCCCGCCTCGTCAGTCCGACCAATCACATCTCGGGCCATCTCCGCCCACATCGAAACCTCCACCAATCACGTGTACGGCCATCTCCACCCACATCGAAACCTCCACCAATCATGAGTAGGGCCGTCTCCGCCCACATCAAGACCTCCACCAATCACGAGCAGGGACGTCTCCGCCCACAGGACAAAACCTACTGCAGAGACCCCTTACTGCAGCCACACACACTCTTATTCAAGCTCCATAGGAGGAGCTTAGGAAGGTGGGCTGAAGCTTAACAGAGAGCAAGGGGGAGAGACCTGAAGGTTGTATCTGTTCAAAATATTCCAAGTCCAGGGTTTTCCAGAAACTACATAAAGCAGCTTTAAGACTTTCTTTTTGGCTAAATCCTATAGTTAGGCTTAGGTTTCCTGAGTTATTCCTTAGTTATTATAGTTAATTAGTTCTGCTGCTATAGACTGGTCCTGCTGGAGGACAAACTGACCACATTTCCTCACTCTTTTCTTGTCTTTAGTCACTCTCTACATGTTTGTTGTAATTATTTCTATCAACAGTCCTGTGTTTCTCCGTCCCTCTTTCCTGTCCCCCCAAATCCAGCCAGTCAAGGCACCTGTCCTGAGCCTGGTTCTGCTGGAGGTTTCTTCCTGTTAAAAGGGAGTTTTTCCTCTCCACTGTCGCCAATGTGCTGCTCAGGATGGGAGACTGTGACGAAGTGAAGATTTGGCGCGTCTGCTGGCTTCTTTAGGTTTATTGTTTTTTGTGTACAGTGCCCTGAGACAACAATTGTTGTGATTTAGAGTTATTGATTTTAATTGAATCAAATCGAAGCAAAGCAAAGCGAAGCAGCAGCCAAAGAGAAAATATTCAATTTCTAAGGAAAATAAATATAAGGTTTATACTGTAAAGATTTTTTTCTGAAGACATACCTATGGAGGTAGAGAAGGATGATTAATTGTATGCTTTTTTAGTTAGATTGTACATTTTATGGACTTATGTAATATTTCCATTTGTTTTGCACTACATCCTGTTAACATTCTCTCACTTTGCCATCACAGGTCACATGCCCAAAGGGCAGGGCTATTCAACTGGCGGCCTGCGGGCCACATTCAGCCCATGAGTGACCAAAGTTTGGCCCACCAATTGGTTCATTCATCTCTTAAGCCCAAACCCCCAGTTTTCTAAGTTAATTACTTCTTCTTTAATTAGTTCTTTTAGTTAGACATAGGGCTGGGCGAAATGGCCTAAAAAAAACCTCGATTTTTTTCATCCCAAATTTGATTTTCGATTTTAATCAATTTTTATTGTTCCTTTGCTTTCTTAAACACAAATTACAGAAAATATTTTTAAAAACTCTTTTATTTGAACCATCCCTTCTGGGAGTTGACCTTAAATCGAAGTGCAACTAAATACAAGCTATAAATCATGATTGTAAAACAAGTTGACAGGTCCCGCCGTTGTAAACAATGAAAATATAAATAAAATATTTGCAGCTTCAAGTAAACACAATAAGCTAGTTTGAAAATTAGTGTCAACAAAATTAACAGTCTTGTTTAAAACATACATTCAAGCAAAATCAGTAAGTACATTCTTGATGTCTTTTTTTTTTTTTCCCCACACATTTTTGGCAAAGAAGAAAAGCCTGTCTACTGCATCTTCATGCATGCCCTGTGGCTTAAACAGAAAATACAAATTACAGAAAATAAACTCAAACATTCTCTATTTGAGTCATCCTTCAGGGAGTTGATCTGAACTCAAAGTCCAATTGTGCAAACGGTCTAATAGCGTTTGTTTAGTATTGGGCATAAGGTCACTGTGGTTGGTCTTCGCATGGGTTCGGGGGGGGGGAATATAGTTGTATCGAGGGGGTTTTAAGGTCAAGTGAGGGGTTGGTTACCTGTATCATTTTCTGCCATGAACCCCATCTAGTTGGGGACTCCGTTATTACCTGATGAGGGGGCAGACCTAGCTCAGCCTGTACTTCAGCCATCTCTCTTCTTTTTTCCAACTATAGGAAAAGGCAGCAGTAGCCTTTTTACACACCCCAATGCAATGGCACATTCAATCCGTGGGTCCTTCACACCATTTTCTGTAAAATAATGAAAACATAAATGGATCAGTTTTACTGTAATAATGAGATACATTCAACATACTTGTCAAAAAAAATCAGAAATAAATTAAAAATTAAAATTTTCAAATTAAATTGATTTATTTATTTTCCAATTTCAACATTTTACAACTGTAGCCACAAACAGACACACAGACCATAGACTGGTCTGGCGTCAGCTGCACTGCACTTTATGTAAATACTGTAACAGTTTATCAAATTTTTAAGGTGTTTTATATTTTTAATGTTGTCCTCTGATGATGCTATTTTTTGGTGTTTTTAATTTCTGTCTGCATTTCCTGAGTGCGTTCTGAATCTCAACAAAAATTCAATTATTAATGATTCTTAACATACTGACGTTACATAGACCGTCATGATGAATGCAAATATTATAAAAAAGACAATAAATAGATTAGATTATTACCTATGGCATTATGCAGTTTATGACCAAAGCACTGGAGGTTTGGCCACCTGTCTTTCAGAGCTTTAATGATGTTGTTAATGATGATTGTCTGTTGTCATACAGACGAGTCGGTCTTCAGGAAGGTTCCAGGAGCTCAGAGCTTCTTTTAATCCATATGCGAGTTGATCATCAGGAAAGTAAGCCGTTTGCAGACAGATACTTTGTAGAGCCCAGCTTTTGTCAACAAAATGCGCTGTTAAACTCGTATACGGCTCCATTGTTCGACTGGACCATAAGTCCGTTGTTGCAGAAAAAAAAACGCACATCCTCCAGCACTGTGTTGTTGTAAAGGTGTGGCAAGGAAACTTCGGTGAAATATTTGCAGCTAGGTAGCACATACCTGGCGTCCAAAGTTTTCAGCAGCTGAATAAAGCCGGGTTTTTCCACTGTATAAATAGGCACCATATCTTTTGCGATGTAAAACGTGACGGCATCTGTGTGATGACTTTCCACTGGGCACTCGTCTTTTCGTAGGGAACGCAGTTTGAAAATATTCCCCTAAGGTAGTTTGTCTTTTGGCGGTGCTGCTTTTTGGCTGCTGCTAGTTTGAGTTTGTGGTGAAGAGCAGCATTTCTCCCACTCCACAGAGCGCCTCTGTCTCAAGCGTTGAAACAAGTTTGTCGTACTCCCGCTTTTGGTAGCAACAGCCTTCAAACAGATATTGCAGCGAGCTGTTTGTTGCTCCGAGTCCGCGGTTGCAAAACCGAACCAGTTCCAGATAACTGAAGACACTGTGCCTTTTTTTGGGAACTAGTTCCTCTTTGCTAGCGTCCATATTGTCTGCGTCTTGAGGGACGGGACGGGCGGGGTGAAACCTACAGACCTCCGAACTACAGAAGCCCCAAAGAGTGCAGTCGAGGGGGGGGGYAAATCTCGGTTTCCCCAAAATTAAATCGTTATACTGTACACAGCAAATTCGAATTAATCGATAAAATTGGTTTATCGCCCAGCCCTAGTTAGACAAACACATGTTCAGTATCTACAGAAACATCAGAATATTGGCTACAAGCTGGTAAAAACAAATTCCATGAACACCCAAGACAGTTAAAACTACAGGCAGTTGAAAATAAAACTATGAAAGGGAAAATAAAATTGGTTTAAAATTTTGACAAGTCAGAGATGTCAAAATATTATTTGTGGTAAATAAATTGTGTTAATTTTGTTGTTTTATCACTACTTTCATTACATAGGGTTTCTGTATGTTGTATTCATGATTAAATGCAGCAAAATAAACTATATCAAAGGTAACAGTTCTTTGTAATACTTGATTATTTACATAATGACTAATTGCTGGATGTTCGACCCTTCAGCTGTTGGCCTGCAGTAACTGTGGCCCCAGAGCAATTTAGTTGAATAGCCCTGCCATAGATTAGGATACTCTGCCGTTATGTCAAAATAGATTATATTTCTAAAGTGAAATTTAACTTGTGTGTACTATTTTTGTTCTGTTTTTTAAGCAAAACTGCATAATTTCTCAACAGACAAAGGATCAAGAGTCAGAAAAACCTAAAAAGAAGAGAAATGTGAGTTTGGCACCACCTGCTGCTGTAACACAGGACAGCTGTTTTATAGCTGTGGCCTCTGGGTTGTGTTAGTGAATACCACTTGAAAATATTTTGTTTTTATTTAGAAGAAAAAGAAAACTATTACAGATGTCTTGGCCACCTCCGCACCGAAGCCGGGCTGTCCGTCCGACCTGCAGGATCTGGTCGCACAGTACTTCTCAGACAAACGCTCTGTGATAGAGCGGGATGAGCTCCAATTGCAGAGTAAGTCAACGCTACTACCCCCGTATAACTTGCAAGTTCAGACGATATCTGCTGACCTGCTGAGTCACTGAGGTCACCACGTCTTTCTATTTCTTTCAGACTCCTGTTTCCTGTCGAGTAATGACCTGACGCACAGCCTCTCCTCTTATCTTAAACAAGGTTAACAATGTTGTGACCTTTTTCAAATGTTTGCATCCACACTCACATATTTGACTTTGATTGCCTTTTTTTTCCCTAAGTTTGTCCCAAGTGGGCAAAGATCCAGAAGCAACACACGGACAAAAGCTCAGTGGTTGTCCTCATCGTCTGTAGCTCCGCTGTTCGAACCATTGAGCTCATCAAGTAAGGGATGACCCAGTGATGTTGACTTTCTTTGATTTAAACTAGAAATACAACTGTTGTTTTCTTTTTGTTTTTTTGTTTTAAGACTGCTGACTGCTTTCAAGGGTAAAGCAAAAGTTGTGAAACTTTTTGCAAAACATATCAAGGTACCAGCTTGATCATGAAGCTGCGCATGATCTTAAGCCATGGTGGTTGTAGCAGAACTGCTGTATCTGTGTTGTCTCTTCGCAGATAGAGGAGCAAGTGAAGCTGCTACAGAAGGGCGTCACACACATCGGAGTGGGAACACCTGGCAGGATCGGTGCTCTCATTGACAGAGGTACGTGTGCTCATGAGGCCATTTAACTTCAGAGATTTCCAAGATTTTCTTCAGTCCGACTGTATGTCCCCCCCCAGAGGGTTTGACCTTACAGGCGCTGAGGTACGTGATTCTGGACTGGAACTGGAGAGATCGAAAACTCAGACGGATGATAGACATTTCTGAGGTGAGCTACTGCCCCCTGCTGGAGGGAAAATCTGCAAGCAGTTTGAACCGAGTTGATGTTCGGAGAGTTAGAGGTCAATCCTTACTTTAAAAAAAGTTTGCATTTATTTTTCCTTAATTTTGACTAATTTAACCACTTTTTCTTTATCTCGTGATTAGAAACTGGTTATCTTTAGCATTTGTTCTGTTGCTGTCAGAAGACTAGAAATGGGAGAGTGTCATCAGTTACTTTTTTCATGAAATCTTTGCCTAGATAAAATAAAAGGAAATGCAAACACTAATAATTTGACATAATGTTTTGTGCACATAATATTCACCCCTTAGGGAGACGAGGACCCTAGATTGGGAATCATTGTTCTTGGAAATTGTGACATTTTTCCCTTCTTCACTATTTATAAAATACAAGTTTAAACACAAAATGTTAGAATAATTTTCATTTGGTGGATTCTTGAGGAACAGTGGTTCATCAAGTATAGTTAAAGCTTCGTCTGATTGTAAAGTCATCTTTTGGCCACAAGTCATCCTCCTCCATCTCACTGTGTCCTCACTCCAACTACCTCCATGCCCTGTCTAACTGCATTCTGCCTTTGCCTGTCATTGTCCCTTCATTTAGAGTTGCTACCCTCAGGCCAATGCTCTTGATTTTCTTCCTCTCTCTCACTTTGGACGTTTCCCTCCTCATGGTCTTTGACTAACAGTAATTTGCACCAGCACCCTGTTTGTCAACAGCACCAGTAGTGGTGGTTGTTAACCCAGGCCTCAACCAATCTGACTTGGTGTCGTTTGGACAAAAAAATGCATTTATGCAGAAGACTTCTCACACAACTCTCACTTATACATCAGGACCATCACTGGTTTACATGTGATTGAAAAAGGCTCCAAACAAGACCAACGTAGTAATGGCCTAACTATCCTCAAAATTCCCAAGATTTGTTTGTATATTTTTACCTAGCATGATCCTGATATGCTATGTTATATTGGTTAAGATAATTAAAACTGTAATTTGTAGACTATGCATCATAAAACCTTATTATAGATCTTAAACTTGTGCATTTGATTGGAAATTTCACATCCTTGCTCCGTGTTTCTTTTAGGTCAAAGGGGACCTCATGAAGCTCCTGGATAGTGGAATCCTGACCACATGTAAAGAAGACAAAGTCAAAATTGGACTATTTTAGCAAACATTTTGTATTTAGTCTGCCATTTATCAACAAGACAAGTGTAATTTTTTGTAGTTTTTTTTCTTTTGGATCAGTGTTCTTGTCTAGTGGATCAGAGTTTTTCACTGTTTTAAGAGTCTGTGTGAGACATCTTGTTATTTTTTCTCTTTAGGACACCAACATCATGTTTAAGTCTGATGCATTGAATAAACATTCTCCATAAAAAAACATAATTTATTTTCTTGGCTTTATTTTCAATGATAAACCCTCGTGGGAACATGCGATCCTGAGTTCACTCGACCACCATGAAGTCCCAGTGATCAGGTCAATCTTCTGATAAAGAACTAGGAAGCAACAAAAACTGAGCTACAAACGAGAAGAAAGACTTTAAATTCTCTTACTTTTTTTTACGTGATGAAACGAAAACCTGACTTTGTGGAAGGAAGTGGTTAGGAGAAACAATCTACCATTTCTTTTAGACAAATAGAAGCAACAAAAAAAAAAACAGGAAAGAGGTAGTTGTGTGAAATATTGTGGTTAATAAGTAACATGCTCTAACTGCTGCCTCCACCCTGCAAAGCCTGCTGGGAAAAGCTTTTGGCAAGCAGAACTGTGTGTGTGTGTGTGTGTGTGTGTGTGTGTGTGTGTGTGTG